TCCCTTATAAATGCCAGAGTTATAATTTCCACTAACTAGAGACAAAGTTATATCCAGGACATTTTCACAGCTTCCTCCAGGGGAGACAGCATGAAGATAGGAGAAATTAGGGCTCAAGTCCTCACTCCACCATGTATCAGCTGGAAGAGCTTGGCTACAGCAGATAGTGAGCCTGTTTCTTCAACTAAAAAACATGACAGTATCTATGCCTTTCCAAGGAGGAGTAAATAAGTAAGAATGTTTGTAAACCATACAGCACAAAACAAATATAGGTTAACATCATCCCTCTATGTGTGAAATACCTAGTAAACTTCAGAGACAATGAAAATCTAAAGCAAAAAAAATAAAATAAAATAAAAAAGAAATCACTGGCAAGTCTAGGAATTGTTTGACGTTACTTTTTATACAGGAGCAAAGATTTATATTACCTCCTCCTACTGTGATGAGGCTAACAAATGTCAAATCCAGAAATAAAAAGATTTCAACCGCTTTCTTGCATTTTGCCCAGTGGCTAATATATGCTATTATCTGTCCATGGAGACCTCTATCTCTGGACACAGAGTACTCTGACAATGTACAGAAAAACCATGTTCCTTCATGTCACACAAAACGCTGATGGATACCAAAAGCTCTGACGACGAATCTCTAAGTGCAGGACTCAAAGGCTGGTGTAGAAGGGAGGTATTCTCTGTGGAGGAGCTGGAGCGGGGAGAGAGAACTTGTAAATCATTCCTCAAAGGGTCGACATATGATCTTTGAGATGGTATGAAATGTCAGTTCACACCTGTGTTGTCACTGGTGGATGTCTCCCAATTATTATTATTTAAGCAAAGATAAACACGGTGTAGCTGCTCACTCTGAGCATCTAATTACGGTCTTTAAAGTTACTAAATGTGAAATATATAGACTAATTTCTTATTAATAAACACTGTGAATATTTAAAATGCATGTAGAAAACATTTCTATGACAAAGTAGTCTTAGAAGATTCGTTTCACGCAATGATGTTTATTGATTGCTAAAATAATTTAAGAGAATTTTAATAAAACTGAACTCCAACTCTACCTCTGCAGATCTATCTATCTATCTATCTATCTATCTATCTACCTACCTACCTACCTACATACCTACCTATTTATCTATCTATCTACTTATCTACATAGCCATCCAGTTGCTTTTTCTCCCAGTAAATGGTCATTTGTAAATATTGTTTCCTTAGGTGGCCTAAATGAAATTACAAAGTGTCTGGGTGCTATGGCAGGTGCTTTACTATTATCTACTTGCTGATCACATCTATTTTATTGTGGTTCACTTGATTGGGGGGGAAAGGTGGGGAAAAAAAGGAGTCTAGTACGAACTATTAATATATTTACTAACATATCTACTAGGTTTTTAAAAGCTTTAAAATTTAAATTACACACACACATATAAGACAACTTCTATTTAGAGATTGTATTGTTTTTTAACTGGCAGCATTAAAGAAGTTATATGGTTCTCAAACTAGTGGTTTGAATATGATGTTGCTTTACATTTCAAGTAATGCGATTGAAATATATAAAATCAAGAGGCTGCTCATGAAAACGGTGCTTTTAAAATACTCTCCACTTCATAGAGAATCCGAGCTCCCCCATCTTTCCCTGGATAAACGGACTCAGAGATCCTCTTTGTCTTTAAAAGAACTGACCTCTCCTTGCCCACTAAGCCCTCTGCTCAGTGGAACAGCTGTCTGGGTTTCCTCTTTTCAAGATCGGGCCATCACCTTCTCCCAAATCTACCCATCAAAAGTCAGAAAAACGGGACAAAAATTCTAACTATGGGATACCACCGACCTGGTGCTTAAAACGAGAGCAAGAGATAAAATCCAAAACTCATTTGGTAAAAAAGAAAAGCCAAATTATTCAAAATTTCAAGATCAAAATTTATTCGAGTTGGAAATACTGCTCATCACCAACATACACAGTATTTTCAAAGTGGCAAGGTGCCTTACATTTGCACACAAATTGTATTGGAGAAGAATCCATTACGGGACAGAAATTCCCTTTAAGCCTCTCCTTCACTCTCAAAACTCTATGTACATGAGCACAGGCTGAGAACTCTCACGAAGCAAAGGGATGTACAATCTGTTGAAGTCCTGAAGCACTTGCATTTCTTTTCAGCACTCAGTTGCTGCCTGACATTTGGCCAACGCACTTTTATGACGAGCAGAACGAGAATTCCCCTGATTATACATGTTATCGCCGGCTCTCTCCATTCGCCCAAGCAGCAACCCAAGTGGTATTGGAATTTTGTTGTTAATTAAACAAAAACAAAACTGAAGGATGAGACTAGAGAGGCTCAAATGAAGATTTATTACTTCTAAGCATGAAACCACTTTAAGCCTAAACTTATCTGACAACTAACGCAGAGGAAGAATTTTCTTCTTTGGCGAGTTCAAAAGGCCTGATTTAATGATGTTTTAAAAAACAACAGTAAATCAGCCACAAAGAGAATGTTTCTCTTTTATGGTCACTTGTTCTGTACTCCTCCATCCATATGCATACACATACCAAAAAGCTATATTATAAAGAGAGTTTCTGTTTTGCATGAAAAATTTAACTATACAAACTCTTACATATGGAACCAATTTAGCTATTAATACTGAGAGGCAGTAGGGAAGTATTTAACATATTAAATATGATTCTGGGCCAGTTTTTTCCCCCTTTAAATCTGATATGGAAATATTTACAGCATTCCTCATTTTCCCACAAACCATTTCTCTTTAGTTTAAATTTGCACCAAAGCAAGATAATCCCATTAAAACAGAGGATGTTATAATGCTGGGAATAAAATATTCTAATCATCTAGATGCATTATAATTCTCTCTCTCTCTCTGTGGCTAATTGAAAAACTGTATTGCCAGTACTTCTGAGCTACTTTTCTCGAAGCACAATACTACGAATCCATTATCTTATGGCAGCCAGAGGTCACTCCAAGACAAATGTGTGGGCTAAGCTTTTGGGGGATGATGGTGGTGGTATAATTCTGATGATTGTATTAGTGAGGGATGGTATGGAAGTTCACTTTGTACTAGAACTATAAAAGCAAAAAAGCCTATATGCTTGGAAATGTCAAAATTAAAATATTAAAATGTAATTTATCGTTTGGTTACTGTTCATTAGCGGAAATGGTCTCAGCTTCTCAACCTTGGCCCAATCAACACAAATTATACTAAATAAAATGGATTAGGACCGGCACTGGCACCTCTCAAACAGCAAAATATATTTTATAACTTAAAGGAAAAGAAAAAACTAAAAAGTCTGAACTACAAAGGATACTTGAGTCATTTTATTCTTACAGGATTATGAAATCCAGTAAACAAAATAAAAGTGGTTTTTTTTTGGGGGGGGGAGAAGCTTAGATTTCTTTGACATAAAAGTCGATAAGAAATCTTAAAATGTGTTCTTTCCAAATGATTTTAAGTGCTTAAGAACGTGAACCAGAGGGAGGTTTCCTCTCTTTTAAATCAGCTGCATGTTCTAAAAATGATTAAATCCTATTTCCCGAAAGCCACAGAAAAAAAAAGAAAATTTGCTGTGGGCACGTTGTAGAGAGAATTTCATCTCAAGCAGCTCATCTCGGCGTCCAGTACGTTTCGGCCTGTTAATAATTAATAAAAGAGATGCCACCCAATCTCTAGTGAAGAAAGGCAAAGCTCGTTGATCCGAAAGTAAACCCAGTGTGGATATCCAACCGGTGCCCTTCATCCTGGATTGCAACAAAACCTCAACCCAGCGCACATTTAACGAGTGGCGCCCGTACGGATGACAGAACCCGTAGGACAGTCTGGATCTGCAAAAAATGCTGCGCATTAGGGGAGCCCTGTCCGCGGCAAACAGATGGGGCTCTAAATCCCCGCTCCCAGCGGCCGGGTCTGCGAAGCCGCTCGAGCGGATTATCTACCCCAGGAACCTGCTGTTGCACGAGCCGGAAGCACGCTTCGGATCGAGTGTCTCTGGGTCTGTTTGTAACAGTTCTAGGAGCTTTTTCCCGGCCGCGCAGGCGACTTCCTGCACACCTCCAAACTTTGGCTTTCCCATTAGAAACTTCCTCGACTTGCCATGTTTTCTTTCCTCCTCACCTGGGAGGACCTTGAGCTAGTCTTCTCTTCGACCAGTGCCCCCTGCCATCCTGCCACCGGCCTGGTTACGGAATCCCGATCAAGGCGAAGGCTGGTGGGTAGGCTTGGCCGCGACCAACCCGCGCCCATCAGCCCTCACCGCCATGTAACCTCCACCACCGCCCGCAAATCCACAACCCAAAGTATCAAGTTGGGGCGGGCTGCGGCTGCGGCTACCGGCGGCCGCCGAGGGAGTGAGTCTTGGCAAGCTCTAGCAGCCAGTCTCACTTGGGCCCGGGCACTTTCGGAAGTGGCTGCGGCAAGACGCGGCGCGGACCTGCCGCACCTCCCCGGCGCGCGGCCGCCCGGGGCTGCTGGGCCGCCAAGGCGGGAGGGCGCAAGGCCTGGGGCGCTGACCAGTCCCCCGGGATGACATCGCGTCCGCGCGCACGCACGGCCCGGCCCGGCCCGGCCGCAGAGCCTTCCCTACGTAGGCCGGAGCTGTCCGGGATGCGGGCCTTGGGGACCCGCCGCGAGCGCCCCCGGCTTCCTCCGAGCTTCCCAGAACCTCCCCTCCCTTCCAGAAGCGCGGCGACTGCCCGCAAAGTTTCTTTCGTGAGCCCCGCCAGGTGCCAGGCGGACCCGGGCAACTGACAGGAGCCGGACGGGGCGGAAGAGGGGGGCTCCAGCCCGTGCGCCTTTGCTCCCAATCGGAGGCAGCAGATCCCGCGGCCGGCTCAGGTGGCGCCGCTGCGTTGGCCCTGAAGGCCCTGGCGGGGCTCCGGCGGCCAGCGCCGGGCAGTACGTGCGCTGGGGCAGGCGCGCCCACCCCTCCCCCTGCGCGCCCGCCTCCCCGCCCCCCGGAGCAGCCAGCCCACCCGGCCCCGGCGGGGCGCCCGGGCTCACCTTTCATCGCTGCGATCACAAAATACATCATTTAAGCCGCGGTGCGGAAAGCTCAGGGAGAGCGGATGGTCCGATCCCGGAGCCCCCTCTGCCGCCGCCGCGCCGCCGCCGCCCGAGCCACAGCAGCAGCTGCCGTAGCTGCCCGCCCGCCGAGAGCCATCCCGAGCCATAAGAGGCTCCATGTGACCGGCTGACATCACGGCCGCTGCTCTGTTTACACCGCGCCCCTCCGCTTCCTCCCCGGGCGGGAGGCGGGAGGCGGGAGGCGGGAGGCAGGCGCGCCCCAGCGCCGCGCCCGCCCCGCCCCCGCGGGCAGGTGAGCAGCGGCTGCTCCGCGGGCGCTACCAGGCCCCTCGCTGCCCGCCCGCGCCCCCGGCCCGCGCCGGGACCCAGGCCTTCTCCTGGCCGTGGCCAGTTACCTGTGGCCGCCTGGGCGCTTTCTGTACGCAGCGCTCCGCGGAGCTAGCGCCTGACCACTCTCTCCCCCCAGCCCGCGGGCAAGAGGCACACAACCCAATGCCACTCGCCCGCTCCCTTCCTAGAGCCCCCAGGGGTATTAAGATCCGGCTAGTTGGTGGAAAAGAGGCGTTTGGTCTGGGGGGGCCGTAAGCAGCCCCATTACCCATTTTCCAGAGCGCTCCAGCTCTATGCAGAAGGTAGAGCCCCTCCAGATCCGTGGAGAACGCAGCCATCTGGACCACCCTGGGGTGTGAATTAAGTGCCTCCTAAGTCTTTCCTGAGAGACTCAGCTTGGGAGGGGGAACTCCGCCTACCCAGACATTGGTAAGCCTCATCACAATAAGGGTTTACAACTGCTTCTCTTTCCTCTGCCCCCCACCCCCACCACTGACACCTGGAAGAAGAGCGGGCGCCAGCCAATTGGAGCCACTAAATTCCCAGGCTCTTCCATGTCTTGGGTTCCAACTCTCAGAACCCATCCACAAATGGAAAAGGCTCTAGTTTTCACACCCTAAAAATGAGACTCTGTGGTACTTTGGACAGGGGAAAAAAAGACCTCTAAAGGTCAACTTTGTGAACTTTAACTCGCAACTAAGACTTAATTCCCTCCAAAATCCTTTTTAACTGGCTTTATGGAAACTTAAATCATGACAGTATTATCAGATGAATCTCTTTACCATGAATTTCAGATGCTACATATCTGCATTGTTTAAAATTTCATCAGGCTTGTCTGTTGTATTGAGCATAACAGAAAAAATGATCAAAAGCCAAGTTTTCATACCTACTACTGTTCCTTCAATTTTGCTTTCTTTTCTGATGGTCTGTTTCCATTTACAACTGAAAATATCAGATGGTTATTCGTTTTTGCACTCATGGTGATTAAACAGGAAGAGTCCTAGAATTTTTTCCATGTAACTGAGTTGTCCTTGCCCCCAGAGCTGGGCGGTAATTTAAGATACACATAGACAATCAGCACTGTAGGAAGCTAGAATCATACACTGCCCACCCTACCCCCTCTTCAAGGCAAAATATACGCAGACCTTTGATTTAGAAGGTCAAAAAGTTTCATTGTACCTTAAATCAAGCCATAGCTTTATAAAAGTCTGATTTCAGCTAAAGTCATCCTAACACAGTTTTTCCTTTAGAATTTTTTTCCCCAAATAAAACCACAAAAATAAGAAAAGAAGTCATAAAAATATGAAGCCAAGACCTACCCATGTTGACTCAGCTGTCCAGCCATAGCGAACTGGACAAGAGTTTCAAATGAATCAACCATACCCTCTGTGATGTTTACAATTATGAAATTAAATCACACCATATTCCCATGATGCAACTGCATCTCAAAGTGAGGCAACACCCCTTGGTTACCCTGATACTGTCATTTATATTTTGTTCTGGGTCTTGATTTTCCTTGTGCTAAGGACTTTAACAAGGAAGGCTAATAATGCCAACCCATCCTCTAGGTAGGTCCCAGGTATCATTTTTCTTTCTGTTATACTGTTAAAGGATGGGAAACCATCAGAGACTGCATGCTCATATTTATGATCTTCCATACTCACTACAAATGAACCCAGATATACAACTCTGAAAATTCACAATGTTACTTTCAAACAGTATCCTGCTTTAGAAAATAATGCTTTGAAAATGACCAAATCCATTAGCTCTAGCTTGCCTGTCAGGCTAGGTAAATAGTCTTACGTTACTAGTAATTGGTATTTATTTCCAGACCATTTTAAATAAAATTGGTAATCAGGAACGACATGTAACATGACACGTGCTCCTGCAATTACATGTAGCAGAATCATTCATCCTGTAGGTATGTCCCCAAATAGAAATATAATCTCATAATACTTATTTGAAGTATTTATGCATGTATTCAACAAAGACGTTTTCAGGATAATGTAATACTGACCTTGCCCTTTAGAAATGTGTTCCATTCTCATCCTACAACTAATGAGCAACAGAATTGCAGACATTAAGTCTTAACCTTCCTGTGTGGCTAGATGCTATTTGTAAACATGACTTTATGAAATGTCTTCAGCCTTTAATCCAGAGTATATTATTGTTCTTTATATTAACACCATGCTCTTGTGAAACTTTTAAAGTAAAAACAAAAACAAAAAACAAAAACCCCTTGAAATACAAATTTTCTATGGAATTATAAGTTCTCAACCCAATAAATCATCTAGGAATGAAAGGATCCATATCTTCCTTCACTACTACCAAAATGGAGCCATAAATGTTGCACAGTTCAGTGCAGACTTTTACCAACTATGTATTAAAATTGGAATAATTATTTGGATTATATTAAATGCTTAGGAAATACTTACTATGGGGGAAACAGTGTTAAGCAATATACTCTTTCCATTAAAAATTATTTTACCAAGTTTTCTAAAAAAAAAAAAAAAAAAAAAAAATAGACTATTGTTTACATGAGGATAAGCAGGATGGGAATTCTTTACCATGAATGGGATCATGTTATACATCAATTCTCAACTCAAATGTTTCTGTTGGCTAATCTCAGAAAAAGAAGGCACACATGTAATTCAACTCAGAGTCCTCTAGAGAAGGTGACAGCCCCACATCTTGTCCCTGTGCACTGGGTTTCACACTGGATCTGTCACTTAGCAGGAGGTGGAGAGACACTTCTGATGCCAGGTTGACCCCAGCTGCCTATGAGAAAAGCCTGCTGTATTTCTGTAGGATTCTAAACTGGGGTATAATTGGTAAATTAGTGCCAATCTTTGCACTTTCAGTGGTTACATAAAGAAATGATACTTGATTTTAATGAGAGTATATTTGTTTTTCTTACAAATGGGGTCTGAGCTCATGATATACCACCTTGAAGCACAAATACAGGCCTACTGGGGAACATGGCAAACCAATGAGATGGCAAGCGGCTTCTGGTACAAAGATGATTTCAGAGTTTGCTGATGCACGAGAGAGAGCATTTGGCTGTGTGGCTCTGTCTCACCCAGGCCCTGATTCTCTCCAGTGTGTGGCAGCTTGCTAATTCAATTAATTTCTTTCTAGCTGAACAAGAAAGGGATCAGTGAAAGGTTAATGTGGTCCTAGGCAGCTTGATTTGGCTGCATCCTCAGCCACCAGTGCACCGTGAGCTGCAGGAGTCAGGCTGTTCTGACCCACACAGAGCCAGGCATCAAGTCTCCTGCAGGCCAAACAGGGTCAGACCCGGACAGTTCTAAGCAAGACTTCTCTGGGAAACTACAGAGAATGCACAAACTTACCTGCAATAGATCACAACCTTGCTTAATTTAGAGTCTGGAAGGAGTCAGTGTCTCATAAAGGAACATTTATAAATGGAATAGTACTGGTGAGACCTGGACACCAACAGTGACAGACGGGACCCCTGTTTATATGAGTATTAAGGGATGAACTGATGAACATAGCTTATCAGTCTTATTCAAGCTTTTAAACCAAGTATAGATGTAGATTTACGTACACTCAGGTGTGCATATACATACATAGCCATGGAATATGGTGAAATAAACTGTATTTTGGTGGAGAGACATCTTCAGGTTTACACACACACACATTCCACATTATCAACCACATTTACTGAATTCCTGTTCTGAGCCTGGCACTATAACTAGAGAATCAAACAAGAACAAAACCATGGCCCTGATCTTGAGAAGCTTACTAGTCAGCTGACCATGGCTCTGAAAACCCTGCAAAGAAGTCAGTCCCCTGAGTCAGTCCGAACATTCCTGAAGGAAGGCAGTGTCTGGTTCCCACTGAAAAGACACCTGCACAGCACTTTGCCCCTCACAGTTCATAGATGGCTCCAAGTCACAAGTGTGGCTTTTAGTGCAATGGGACGTGGAAGGTGAAAGATTTAGCTGGGTTGAGACAGTGGAGAAGGGATTCTGAAATTTCTGAAACCACATCTCATACACCTATTAGGAAATTCAAGAACTTGCAGGTATTTTGCAACCATCACAACGAGGGAAAGGGTCAAGTTCACGGGCATACGGAACTGAGCAATCTCGACAGAATAGGTAGGTAGCAGGTGGCTCACTACACGTACACCTGCCATGGCAGCAAGGAAGGAAATGCACATCACAGGCCAGAGGGACTTCCAACCCTCGTGTTCCTATGGAATGTTCTCACCCCACTCCTGCGCCTGGCAGTGCAATAGGCCATTCAGAAAATTATGATTTTTTACTTAAAGAACTATGAGAAATAGAAGTGAACTCACACCTGGAGACCTGGGTTCAAGTTCCACACTTGCCACTAGCTTTCTACATCAACTTAGGCAAGTCACTTCACCTCTCAGGATATTGGCCCTTTTCCTGTGGAATGAAGGAATGGGAACAGGCCTCAAAGGTCTCCTGCAACTCAAATATCCCATAACTAGTTTTTAGGGGCCATGACCCATCCACTTCTCAAGAACACATTCATTCCTTTCTCTCTGCGGCACCATGTCCACTTCTCCAACGAGCTGTCTTTCTTTCACTGAACTCCATGGTGTAGTCCAATGATCTCTGGCATTAGACAACGCTGGTCTCAAAACCAACTTTCATCCCACTCACTAGCTGAGTGATCTTGAGCAAACCTTTGTTTTCTCTGTGAAGTAAGGAAAGCAGAGCCCTGTAGGGCCACTGGGGGAAATAAATTAAACAATTTAAAAGAAGGACAGAGGGCCCTGCCGGGTGGCTCA